GGAGCTCCCCATCTGAGAGTTTATCAGAACCTAATCCGCAGTGAACAAGCCCAGTTGGGGCTGTTTGCCCACTAATCCCAGCTGCCATTAAAATATTAAAGATAAATCTAATCGTCTCTTTATCCAAAATAAGCGACTTTTGTGTGGGGAGAAAACATCTAACCCTTTGGGAGGAGAATTAGTCCTAATGCATCAAATGGAATTCGGTCCAGGCTGGGGCGAAATAGGGTTTAGAGGCAAATGAGATGGTAATAGAAATAAAACCCAGAATAACAAATTAAAAACCCTCATTTACACGAATTAAAAGGGCTCACAAAAGGGCTGGAAGCCCAGCCCTACCCTCCTCAGCCCCCTGCCCACGCCCCCCTCCCCTGGTCTCACAGGCCTAGCTTGTCACCCGCCTGTAGGCCCAGGGAGAGGACCCATGGTCTGACCTCGCCCCCTCAACTTGTGCCTCACACCTCTCTGCAGCCCTCCCCAGCTTCCCTCTCCAAGCCCAAGCTGGGCTCCAGAAGGCTCTGACTGAGCCTGTAGTCAGCTCCCCACACCCCCTGCGTGGGCTTCTGTCCCACTGCTGTCTCTCGCTACATGAGGTCGTGGTTTCATTTCTGAAACTCCCTGGGCCCCTGTTTACTTCCTAAGAAAATGGGGATAATACTAGCCTCTCATCCTCTGGCCTTAACCCCTCTGCTCTTCCCTGGATTCAACAAGATGACATCAGGACAGCCCCCAGCTCTGTGCCTGATCCATGGTGACCACTCAATTGTCAAGTCTGGTCAAGCTCCCCCTCGAGGCTCCCCAGGCAGCTCAAGCACTTTCAGGACCCTGGGGAAGTCAGGTCTGTGCCCCAGGAGGAAGGAAACCTTAGCAGAGAGTCAGCTAGGGAGGCAGAGATGGGCAGACAGAAATAATTTTGAGTAACTAGGTGGGGTCACCCCCTGAGTTGTCATTCAAGAGGACTGAGGCCACCCCAGATCATCAGACTTCTCACTAAGCAGCTCTCTGTCCCTTAAGGTTGCCCTAGCATTGGCTTTGTGGCTCCCCCTTCATGGTGACATTTCAGGGGCTCTGATATACCTGGGGACACCTACTCACCTTCTGGTCTAGGTCTGAATCCCCTACATTAAAATCACACTCTCTGCCTCAGTGGCTGGATGCTTATTGAAGGAGATAGAGTCTCCTTCCAGCGGGGTCAAGGGCCCCTCTGTGAGTCATCACGGGTTGACAGAGACAGACAAGTGTGACAAACCCCTTCCTGGGAACCTGTTTGGACTGCAGTGGGGAGGGGTGAGAAGGGGGCCTTCATGCCTGAGGTACCCCATCACCCCACTGGTCTCTCCCCCAACCCCAGGAGAGCCACAATGCATCTCTGACCTCCCCCAGCCTTCTTAACAAATCCACTTGAACAGGAAACTCATGTTGACAGCATTTTATTATGGGATATTAAGTGGAATTGGATTGCAGGCTAAACCTTCCCTGGCTGGCTTTCTGTGCTCGGCTGGCCTCCTCCCCACTGTGCCCACCACAGTCCCTCCTCCCTCTGGTGTGTGCTGGGAAGGGGTCTCTCCTCCCATCCCCTTCAACACCTCCCCCTACCTCAACCCTTGGCGGTGCCAAGTGGTGATTCTAAGCAAGAAGAAATTGGTATGGGTGGGAGGGTGGAGAAGACGACTTTCTCCACGAGATGATAAAGGGACACATAAGGAGGTGTTGGGTGGGATGAGATTCTTCCAGACAGGCATCCTAAACCTGGGTTTTGATGGGAATGCACTAAGAGGAGATGGTCACAGGTGAAGGAGTTGGGAGGTCCATTGCTGCAAGCTGTCTTAGGACCTGGGCAAGGAGGTGGGTTCCTAGACTAATACACGGTTCTGGTTAGCAAACATTAAAAAATCATCATACAGGATTAGAAAAAAGTAGAACATTTGTGAGTGCCTACCATGTACCAGGCACCATGGCCAGTGTTTTACATACATTGTCTCATTTAACCCTCAAACCCTGTAACGTGGATTCTTCAATTAACCCTATTTACAAAAGAGGAAATTGAGGCTCCCAGAGGTCAAGTCAACCTGAGATGGCATAGCTCGTAGTATTGAAGCCAGGTCTCACCCCAGCCATCTGACTCCAGAACTGTGCTTTTGGCCACTCCACCATAATACCTCCTATCAGGTGCTGTACCAACCACTTATGACAAAATGGGCAAGGTATAGTCTTTGGTGCCAGATGGCTGGCCAGACAGTGGATGCATTTGTCCACGATTCTTCCCTCTCTCTCCACTCTAGGCATAAACTTCCCTTGTGAAGGGAATTTTTTGCCCCGCTCCATTGCCTTCCGCCTTGGTCATGTGACTGGCTTCAGCCAATGGAATTCGGCAGATATGACCCAAGCAAAAACTTGAAATGGGCTTGTGTGGTCTGGCTGTCTCTGCTCCTTATGACCTTGGCCAGGAGAAGAGTACGGCTCGGTAGCCACCGAGCCTGAGGTGAGATGTATGAAGCAGGACTGGACCAACCTGCAGTTCAGAGCCAAGCCTAGCTGTGCCTGGACCCTAGGACCCTGAGCAAGAGATAAACTCCCTGAGATGCAGATGTTGTCTGTTACGCCAGGTATGCAGAAGCTATGGAGTTGAACTTGGATGGCCTTTCAAAGAAAGACTACCTATTCAGGTGCAAGAGTGTGGTTAGCAGACAGCCTCCAGCTGCAGCCTCTTAGAGATCCACACAGTGCCCTCCCCCACATTCCAGCTTTATTAAGATATAATTGACATATAACATTGTATAAGTTTGAGGTATACAACATGATGATTTGATACATTTATAAATTGCAAAACGATCATCACCATAGCCTTAACTACCACCTCCATCCCATCACATAATTATCATTTCTTTTTTGGTGGTGAATACAGTTAAAATCTCTTACAACATTCAAGTATATGGCACAGTATTGTTAGTTATAATCCCCCACTGCAGTGTTTGAGGGAGTCTGCCTGGCAGGGTGGGCGGGACTGGGGCTTGGCTATTTCTGCCCAACTCAAGGATCCTTTACTGGGCAATCTGCTCCAGAACTCCCTGTTAGATTGGCTGAGACTTTGCGAGATCTGCATCATGGTCTAAGACTCTTCCTGTCCAGCCCTGCTTCCTCCCCCTTACCTTTCACAGGTGTCACCCACCACCCAAATAAATCACTTGCACTCGTAACCCTGCCTTGGCACGTGCTTCCTTAGAGAACCCGAACTGTCTTATTGCCACAAAGCCTAATCTGGGTTCAAATACTGACTACCCAATTTACTAGCTGCTGGACCATAACCATACTGTGACTCAGTTTCCTCATCTTTAGAAAGAAGGTAACAGTAACACCCATCTCATAGGTTTTTTTTGTGAGTATTGAATAAGATGATTCAGGTACAGGGCTGAGCAAAATGCCTGGCACATAGTAAGCACTCAATAAATGTTAATGGAGATTGCCAGAGGTGGTTGTAAATCTCAATAAATAAATGCTATCTATCTATGAATTCTATATAGTAAAATACCAAGTCAACAGATATAAATCTAGGGTGGGTCTTAAAAGACTGGAGAGTGAGAAAGGTGGGCAGCTGAGTTGCAAGTGAGGACAAGTATAAAGCAGAAAAAATGAAAGCTTACAAATGAGACGGTTGATATATTCTGAGCCATCGTTTAATGAAAAAAGATGACCGGAAAAAAGATGACCAGATTTCTGTATGATCCTTCACCATCTTCTAAACACTTTCATGCATACTTTTCTTTGAGAGCTCTCTAACAAAGCCAGGATAGGCATCACCGTCCCCATTTTACAGGTAAAGGAACTGAGGCACCGGGAAGCTTCCTGTGAGTTAGAGCACACAAGCAAGTACCAGAGGCAGGAACAGAACCATGCCTGTAGCTTTCCCTGCATAGAAGATGTATGGAAAAAGCACCAAAACAAAAAAGTAAGGGGCTTCCTGCAGCAAATCAAAGTTAGATCACTGCACAAGCCACCACTCAAGATGCTGAAGGTGGTCGTCTAGATGGCAGGAGAAAGAATAGGATTAGTGTGCATCAAGGTCTATAAGGTTGGAGACGAGTGACAGATCCAAGAGATCCCCAGCTATCAAAACTCAGGAAAAGCAGATCTCTGCTCTGATGGCAAGCCCTTCAACTTTTCCCCGGGTCAAAACGTTTGGTTTCAAATGCGTCTTCATTCTATCAGTGAGGAGTTGCTTATGTGATAGACCAGAAAACAGTGGTTTAAACACTGGTAGAAGATAGGAGATGGAAATTTATTTCTCCCTATGTAAAAAACAAACAAACAAACACACAACCTCACCAGGGCAGCGCAGGGTTGATACGGTGGCATGGTGGTTCTGGGTCTTCGGGCACCCAGATTCCTGTTCTTTAGTCCACTCTCCTAATCTTAGCTTCCATCCTCAAGGTCACCTAATAGTCTAAAACAGCTCTTGAGGCACTAGCCATCATGTCTGTGTTCTAGACAGGAAGCTAGAGGAAAGGTAGAAAGAGCAAAAAGGATGTTTGTGAAATATCTTAAGGTTTTTGCTCACGTGTCGTTGGCGAGAACTTTACCAAAGGGACCCTCCTAGCTGCAAAGGAGGCTGGGAAATGTAGTCTTTTAGCTACAGACATCACCACTCTGAATAAAATTAGGGTGCTGATGCTAAGGAAAAAAGAGAAAAGAGAAACTGAGTGGGCAACCGTCAGTCTCATCCATACCATAGACCCATAACTTATGAAGAGACCTCTCTTCAAACCCTTCTGTTTGTAACCCCTTCCTAATCACAGCTCAAATGTGGCCCAAATAAGATTATTAAGGGAAACGAGTTCCCAGGCTGGATGGCACTGGGGAGCAGAGTTAGGTACTATACTCACATCTTATAATAGCTCGGGATCTGGGTTATAAACGACTCTCTCTGGTTTGACTCAAAAAGGAATTTACTGCTCGTCTCTCTTCTCCACCATCATGGGGTGTGTGGTTGCCTATTCCTCACTATGTGTTTTCACAAGACTTGCAGGATCAAACGATTCCTGGCTAAGAAACAAAAGCAGAATTGTCCCGTTCCCTGGTGGATTCAGATGAAAACTGGTAATGAAATCAGGTTAAACTCCAAGAGGAGACACTGCAGAAGAATCAAGCTGGGTATATAAGGGGTCACGCATGAGATGGTACACATTTATGCTGTGTCGAGGGCCCTGGCTCATACCATATCACACCGTAAACATCGCTACTCCTGAACAATTGGATGTGTTGTATTGGGAACGTATTTTTTTTTCTGTTTCTCTGCTTCTGCACTAGCAGGTTGGTTCAGTAATAAATATATAAGAACTTTTCTTTTTTTTTTTTTTACAGAAAGAGAGAGAGCATGAGCAAGGGACAGAGGCACAGGGAGACAGAGAATCCCAAGCAGGCTCCATGCTCAGCATGAAGCCCAACACAGGGCTTGATCCCACGACCCCGGGATCAAGACCTGAGTCAAAATCAAGAGTCAGACGCTCAACTGACTGAGCCACCCAGGCATCCCTTCAGGGTTTTATTTCTAAGTAATCGCCACACCGAACGTGGGGTTTGAACTTCTAGCCCCAAGATCAAGAGTCACGTGCTCTGCTGACTGAGCCAGCCAGGTGCCCCAAATATGTAAGATTTTTTTTGTTTGAAAAAAAAAAGAAAGAAAGAAAGAAAAACAATAAGGCCTTTCCTAGAAAGATAATGGATAGTGCAGAGATTTTCCAGGTCTGGAACTAGAGTCAATGTAGTTACTGTCACCTCACCGGACCCTAGGTGCTGGAACTTCCACTGACCCTACCACTGACCCCGAGCAAGGAAGTCTGCTGCCAACCTGTTACCCTACAACTTGATCTTACAGCAACCACTACTGCTATCATAGGGGCTTCTCTTGGGTTCTTGCTCCTTTGTGTCACTGGCTCTCAACACAGAGTCAGGGAGGACTGCTTCTGCTTGGTAGAGCTCGGGTCACATGACCATGTTCTAACTGCGAAAGCAAACGTCTGGCATTTCCATTTTCATTGAGGCTTCGAGGGCTCTGTCTTCCTTGGGGACTCACCAGTTGGGGAATTCTCCCGAATAGGAATCAAGTTCGGATGTGGGACAGCTCACAAAATAATGAATGTCTGTTATAGGTCTTTGTAGATGTTGTTTCACATCATCTTCATGGTCACTCACTTTATGCACAACGAAATTGAAGCTCAGATAAGAGAGGAACTTGCCCAAGGTCATGCAACCAATGACGGTCAAGCTGCCCGCCTCAGAGGGCCGAAGAGTAAGGAATTCTTCCTGGGATCAGCCCTTGGTGGTGTCTCTGCTCCCCCACCCCTCGCCCATCCTTCACTGGATGCAGCATTGCCATGGTTCCCTCACTCCCCGCCGTCTCCTGGGTCTCTGGTAACGCTACTCATCAGGTCATATGTCCATTGCCTCCCTCTCCTCCTCCTCCTCCTCCAGACCCTCCTGCTTTTCCACCCATTTACAACAGCTTTATATCAATGGCTGTGGCAGGCTGCTTCACTGATCACTGGGATCTGCTTGGATCAGAGCCTTGCCCCTGAAGATGATAAACAGATGGAGGCTGAACTTCTGGACACAGGGAAGGAGAAAGGCCACAGGGACCCTTTGGGCAGGTTTCCTGTGGATCTCCCGGGAGAAGCCTGGGGCCTGCTGTGTGCACTGTTGAGACTCTATGAGGAGAACATAGAAACGGCTGCCAGGGAGACCTGGGCTCCAAGATCTCTGAACTTCAACAACTGCACTCTACCTTGGGAGAGCCTTTGCTGCTTTCCAATTTCTTTTGTATTAATCCCTCTCCTCTCCATCTACCCTCTACTCTCCATCACGACTACCACCTTCGGCCCCTCAACCAACCAGTAGGGTCTCTGGCCCGGACCAAGAGCTACCTCCTGACTGGCCTCCTATTTTACAACTGCCAGCAGCTTCCCTTCACGCTGAGGATGACATCCAAAGTTCTTCCCCTGGCCCACGAGGCCTTGCAGGGCCTGACCCCTACTGACCCGCTACATTCCTGTCAAAGGCTCACCTGAGCCTTCAGCTGTCCCCTCCAGTTACCTTTGCCTCCTCACTGTTCCTCAGAACTACCTCCCTGGTTCCTCCCCAGGACGCGAACACCAGCTTTCCCCTTAACCTTGCCACCTGCCC